CCTCCGGGGCAGAGAGTTCCACTGCTGAACGGCTCTCACAGTCAGGAAGTTCTTCCTCGTGTTCAGGTGGAATCCCCTCTCTTGTAGTTTGAAGCCATTGTTCCATTGCGTCCTAGTCTCCAAGGAAGCAGAGAACAAGCTTGCTCCCTCCTCCTCCTCCTCCTCCCTGTGGCTTCCTCTCATGTATTTATACATGGCCCTCATCATGTCTCCTCTCAGCCTTCTCTTCTTCAGGCTAAACATGCCCAGCTCCTTAAGCCGCTCCTCATAGGGCTTGTTCTCCAGACCCTTGATCATTGTAGTCGCCCTCCTCTGGACACATTCCAGCTTAGAGTCAATATCTCTCTTCAACTGTGATGCCCAGAATTGGATACACTATTCCAGTTGTGATCTAGCCAAAGCGGAATAGAGCATGGGGAGCATGACTTCCCTAGATCTAGACACTAGGCTCCTCTTGATGCAGGCCAAAATCCCACTGGCTTTTTTTTTGCTGCCGCATCACATTCCTGGGTCATGTTCCCCTTCCTCTCCACGAGGACCCCAAGATCTTTTTCACACGTACTGCTCTTGAGCCAGGCCTCATCGTCCCCCATTCTGTCTCTTTGCATTTCATTTTTTTCTGCCTAAGTGGAGTCTCTTGCATTTGTCCCTGTTGAACTTCATTTTGTTAGTTTTGGCCCAATTTGGTGTCATCTGCAAAGTTGATGATCATGCCTTCTAGCCCTTCATCTAAGTCATTAATCAAGATCCTGAACAGGACCGGGCCCAGGGGGGAACCCTGCTTGTGGCACTCCACTCGTCCCTTCTTTCCAGGATGAAGAAGAGGAAGCCTTGGGAGGATCACCCTCTGGGTTCGTCCATTTAACCAATTACTGATCCACTTCCATTCCTGTTATTATTTTTTTTACCCAATTCTTGAACCATTGCTCTAGTTGTCTACAGTGGAACCATTCTGTTTCCCCGAGTTCTTCCATCACGTTTCCTTCTTCATATCCACCTTTATCCATTCCCCTGTTTTATCTAGGTTTTTCCCCTTAGTTTTTTATCCATAATATATTTTTTAATTGGGGGAGGGAATGTCCTTTCCATTATAATTGGGGTCATTAGTGAGACTTCTGTCATTAGCTTTTTCCTACATTTGATCCATATTTCTAACACGTTACTCAACACTGGGTTTCCCGTTTCTCTGATTTCTTTTCTAGCTAACACGTCACAAAATATTTTCTAGATTTCTTCCTCCATTTCCTCCAAATCCAATTTTAATTATTCTAAATCCTCCTTATTTGTCATTCCTCCAATAACCAATCTCAATCCATTTGCTTTATAATATTTTTTTATATTGGGAAGTACTAATCCTCCTACATTTTGGGATCTGTACCATAATTGTTTGTTTAATCTATTTCTTTTACGGCCATTACAATATTTATTTATCATTTGTTGCCATTTATTCAGCTCTTCCTCTGAATACATGGCAGTGATAGCACTCTAAATATGAAAGTTACCTTCAGAAGAATTTTCATTTTGACTCATGCTATCTTTCCAAACCAAGGTAAATGTATATTTTCATATTCCATTAATTTTTTGAACTGCTTCTCATAATAACAACAACAACAACAACTTTTTTCTTGTATCTCGCCACCATTTCTACTCAGAGGTAGTGAGGTCTGTTGGAACTAGGAAAAAGGGTTTATATATCTGTGGAATGACCAGGGTGGGACAAAGAACTCTTGTCTGTTGGAGCTAGGGGTGAATGTTTCAAGTGACCACCTTGATTAGCATTTGATGCCCTGGCAGTTGTTTGGTGTGGCTTGTTGGTGCCTGGGGCAATCTTTTGTTGAGAGGTGATTAGATGTGCCTGATTGTTTCCTCTCTGTTGTTTTGCTGTTGTAATTTTAGAGTCTTTTAATACTGGGAGCCAGATTTTGTTCATTTTCATGGTTTCCTCCTTTCTGCTGGAATTGTCCACATGCTTCTTGTGGATGTCAGTGGCTTCCCTGTGTAGTCTGACATGATGGTTGTGAGAGTGGTCCAGCATTTCTGTATCCAGGTTGGTTCACCAGGTGCTCTGCTATGGCTGATTTCTCTGGTTGAAGGAGTCTGCAGTGCCTTTCCTGTTCCTTGATGCGTGTCTGGGCAATGCTGCTGCGTTTGGTGGTCCCTCTGGAGACTTCTTGTCCACAGCTGCATGGGACACAATGGTAGACTCCTGCAGAAGGGAGAGGATCCCTCTTGTCCTTTGCTGAATGTGGCATTGGTTGGATTTTCTTGGTGGGTCTGTAGGTGGTTTGTATGTTGTGTTTCCTCATCCGCTTCCCTCTGCGGTCAGTGGTTCCCTTGATGTCTGGTGAGAACACTTTCCCTCTGGGTGGGTCTTCGTCTTGTGGCTTCTTCTCGGTTGTCTTGCAGCTCTTCTGATGTCTGAGGTGGAGTCTCCATTGGCCTGGAGAGCCCAGCTGAGGGGGTTCAGTTCCTCTTGGAGGAGGAGGAGGGCTTCGCAGATTCTTTTTGCACGGTCTGCCAAGGCTTTAATGGGGCTTCTTCTTTTTGGACTTGGGTGATGGTGGGAGTTTTGATGTAGATATCTATCTGTGTGTGTGGGTTTTCTGTAGACGGTGTGACCCAATTGTTGATCTGGTTTGCGGATGACGAGGACATCTAGAAAAGGCAGTTTTCCTTCATTTTCTTTTTCCATGGTGAACTGGATGTTTGGGTGGATGCTGTTCAGATGGTCCAGGAACCTGTTTCCCCATGGCCTCACCACCAGCTACTTTCAGTGGGACAATGAATTCTACAAACAGAAAGATGGAGTAGCCATGGGGAGCCCTCTCAGCCCGGTCATAGCAAATTTCTACATGGAACACTTTGAAAAACAAGCCCTGGAAACAGCAGCAAAAAAGCCCACGATATGGTTCAGAGATGTGGAGGACACCTTCACCATTTGGAGCCATGGAGGAGAAGAACTCAACAGGTTCCTGGACCATCTCAACAGCATCCACCCAAACATCAAATTCACCATGGAAAAAGAAAATGAAGGAAGACTGCCTTTTCGAGATGTCCTAGTCATCCGCAAACCAGATCAACAATTTTCCTAGTTCCAACAGACCTCACAACGTCTGAGGATGCTTGCCATAGATGCAGGTGAAACGTCAGGAGAGAATGCCTCGAGAACATGGCCATACAGCCCAAAAAAACCTACAACAACCCAGTGATAGATGCAGGTGAAACGTCAGGAGAGAATGCCTCTAGAACATGGCCATACAGCCCAAAAAAACCTACAACAACCCAGTGATTCCGGCCATGAAAGCCTTCGATAATACATCTTCCAAAGGGCACCCAGGGGACACTTTTGCCCCTCAGCCTTCAGTTTTCTGAGGCTTTCCTTTTGAGAGGCCAGGCTTATTAAAGGCCCACGTTTTCATTGAATGCACGGAGGAAGCCTGGCTGACCTGCGTCCCCTCTCCAGGCTGACCTGCGTATGCTCAGCTAGGCATTTTTGGGGTGGCTTCTGTGGGAGGTTGGGATTCATTCTCTTGGTCGCTGCAAAGGCATTCCTGGGAAGGACCCTGTGTGAGGAGCCCGTGTTCCTCTCGCTCTCCTTCAGCTGCTGGAAACCTTCCCCTGGACGGAGGACAAGGAAGGAAAGAAAGGGGGGTTGGCAGGAGAAGGCCATGAAGGGGGGGAGCTGCGCCTGCCTGCCGTGGCATCCCAACCTGGGGCTCAGCTGAGAGAGTGAATGGCCCAAAGGGTATCATCATTATGTGAATGTCTCAAACCAGCCTCAGCGTGGTTTTGGATTAGCTGGGCGGAGAGGCAGAGTCTTGGTTGGCCGCAGGATTCCTTTAGGAGAAGGCAGGAAACGTGGTGGCATCAGGCATCTACTTTGGGATGCTCAGAAAGCAGGCCTGGGACCCCTTTGAGGTATATTGTATGTTTTAAATGTAATTCTTGTATTGCCAATATGGATGCCACTTAGAATGTAATGCTATGCTGAAATGTTTATGTTGAGGCTGTGATTGAGTGACCTTAAGATAAGCTCTCTGCTGCTGCTGCTGAGAAAATTTAGGGAGTTAGCCATTTGGAGCAGAAGAGCTAAGCAGCTGCAAAGAACTGTTTTGACTTTCAGTTTCCTGTGTGTTGTCCTGTGTGTCGCTCGCTGTAGATGGACGTGTTTTAGATGTGCTTAGTAAAACTGAGTTTTCCTTGTAACCTGACGTCTCCAGAGTCCATGATTTCACAGAGCTGTATCTGGTGAATCTAGCATTTGCTTCTGTCAGGTGCACCTTAGCTTGACACCCTTGTGGGACGGGAGGCAGCCCAGTAGTAATCTTTGTGCCCCTCAGCATTAAGCAGATTCATTATCCAGTGACTGCCATTCCTTTAGCCACATTTATGTTCAACCCAATGAAATCAATGGGATGCTCCAATATTGGAAGGAGTTCCTCTTTCTTCCTTCTATCCATTCTTTTCTTCCTACCCCTCTCTCTCTTCCTTCTTTTCATCTTTCTTTCTGGATTAATTCTCTTCTTTAAAAAAATCATTTTCATACCTTCGCTGGTATCTGTGTGAGTGTGCTTGAGCCCTGATGTCTGCATTTGTTGTTATTTCCATTTCCAGCATGGCCCATGAAGGGAAAAAGGGGAAATCTTTTATTTCACAGTTTTCTATACCGAGCTTCTCAACCTCATTGAGGGACTCAGCCCGGTTTCCAGCCATAAAAACTCATACACTCATCTTTGAGGGAAAAGAGGTTTCCTGACTCTCATCCTGTGATTGAGTGGATGATTTGGCTCTTATAACTGTGATGAGAATCTTTTAATGTTTATGGTACTTATATTTTAATCGTGTAATGATTGCATTGTGTTGTTATTGTATATTTTGTATGTTAACACATGTTGTGAACCGGTCCGAATCCCTCTTGAAGGTGAGAGGGTCGGTATATAAACCTCGAAATAAATAATAAAATAATAAAATCCTTGATCTTTTCTTTCTTTCTTGACCAGGGAAATGAAGATTCTATGGAGCCAACTCTTGGATGCAACAAGGAAACCAACAATACAGAAAGAAGAAGTCTTCTCAAGGTGATGATCTTGCTGAATTGTTGACCTCACTTGCAGAAAAGGGAAAGAGGAAGAGTCAACTCTCTGTATTGCAATTAAACACCCAAATCACTGTTGGCGTGAAGGAGAAAGCGTCCAAATGGCTGAAACGTGGAAAGAGTTTTTCTCAGGGGATCATCTGCAGGAACCTGAAAGGCCTGACACTGGGGAGAAGCCCCCTGAATGCCTGGAGTGCGGAAAGAGCTTCGCTCATAATTCAGATCTACGTAAACACCAGAAGACCCACACTGGGGAGAAACCCTATGAATGCCTGGAGTGTGGGCAGAGGTTCATTCAGAGTTCAGATCTACGTAGACATGAAAGGACCCACACTGGAGAGAAACCCTATATGTGCCTGGAGTGTGGAAAGAGCTTCACTCATACTTCAAGCCTGTGTTTGCATCAAAGGACTCACACTGGGGAGAAACCCTATGAATGCCTGGAGTGTGGACAGAGCTTCACTCGTAGAACAGGGCTAAATTTACATCAAAGGACTCACACTGGGGAGAAACCCTATAAATGCCAGGAGTGTGGACAGAGCTTTACGCGAAGAACAGGGCTACATTTACATCAAAGGACTCACACTGGGGAGAAACCCTATGAATGTTTGGTGTGTGGGAGCAGCTTTTCTGACAGTTCAGCTCTTCGTAGACATCAAAGGACACACACTGGGGAGAAACCCTTCATATGCCCAGAGTGTGGACAGAGATTCGCCCAGAGTTCAGGTCTACGTGCACATCAAAAGACTCACACTGGGGAGAAACCCCATCAATGCCTGGAGTGTGGACAGAGCTTCACTCAGCTTGCATATCTACATAGACATCAAAGAACTCACACTGGAGAGAAACCATTTGCATGCCCGGAGTGCGGACAGAGATTTGCCCAGACTTCAGGTCTGCGTGCACATCAAAGGACTCACACTGGGGAGAAACCCTATAAATGCCTGGAATGTGGGCAGAGCTTCTCTCATAGTTCAGGTCTGTGTTCACATCAGAAGACTCATTCAGGGGAGAAACGCTATAAATGCCTGGAATGTGGACAGAGCTTCACTCAGAGTACAGGTCTACGTTCACATCAAAGGACTCACAGTGGGGAGAAGCCCTATAAATGCCTGGAGTGTGGACAGAGCTTTGCTAAGAGTTCAAATCTACGCACACATCAAATGACTCACACTGGGGAGAAACCCTATACATGCCTGGAGTGTGGAAAGACCTTCAGTCAGAGTTCAAATCTACGTTCACATCAAAGGACTCACACTGGGGAGAAACGCTATAAAACAGGCACAGGGAAAATGTTTTGCCCTGGTGCTACCCTGTGGGCCTGGCCACAAGGGCCGGGCCAGGAGGGAGTGTGGGTGGGGCCAGAAGGGGCGGGGCCAGGGCCAGGAGGGGCAGGGCCAAATGGGCTGGGGATGGGAGAGGGCAGGGTCCAGCCAGGAGAGGTTGGGGTTGGATGGGAAAGGGCGGGATTGTGGTGGGAGGGGGCCGGGTGGGATGAGGAGGAGGAGGAGAAACACATCACTGGCGAGAGCATTCTCACCAGTGCCATGTTTCTCCCCTGGGCCTCTTCTGAGTCCGGGGAAGACAGGCCACCCATGCAAGGCTCAGAGGAGAAGGAGAAACATGCCGCTGGTCACAGTGCTGTCACCAATGCCATGTTTCTCCCCTGGGTCTCCTCTGAGTCTGGGGAGGGCGGGACACCTACGCAAGGCTCAGAGGAGGAGGAGGAACACGCCGCTGCTGAGAGCGCTCTCGCCAGTAGCATATAACTTCCTCCTGGTTCTCCCCTGACTCTGGGCAAAGTGGGCTACCTTCTCGAGGCTCAGAGCAACAGGAGAAATACGCTGCTGGCGAGCGCTCTCTGGATAGTGCTGCGCAGAGGTGTGTCTCTGACACCACGTCCACATTCTGAGAGGAGGGTTGAGGCAGGTGGGGGCCGGAGGGAAGGGGCCAAGAGTAGCCGGGGGCACCAGCCGGAGAGACTTGACCGCTGCTCCTGCTGCTCCCTCCCTCCCTCAGCCCATTGTTTCGGCCAAAGGACAGAGCCTTACTTACTGTGCTTTGGCCGAGAGAAGGGAAACGAAGAGGAAGGGAGCAACGGAAGCAGCTTTGCCGTGGTTTCTGTTGCTCCCTCCCTCCCTCCCTCCCTCGGACCATGTTCTCGGCCAAAGCACGGAGCCTTGCCTGTGCTTTGCGTGAGGGAAGGTCACGGAAGAGAGGGAGCAACGGAAGTGGCTTTTCCCACACAAGGAGATCGACTGATGGAGATTGGCAAATTACCAGAGATGGACAACGTGCTGAGTAAAGAGAAATCTTTGACCAATTTCAAGAAAGATTAGGACTTCTTTATCATTTTTCCACAACAACAACAACAATAGGGGCAAATACCAGCTGTCGGATGTATGAATGAGAAGAGTGTTGCCAAAAGCAGAAGTGTCCTTCCATAGGGATTGTCTAAGGGGAGGAGAATAATCAGGGACAGAATTGACTCAGTGAGAAGTCTTAGCATTAGACTTGTGTGTCTCTAGAGGAGTGTTTTAGTGGTGTGTGGGGTTTTTTCCCTGATTTTATTTTTGCAATTGTGGCAGCCACTCATAGAGCTGTATAGCTTTAGCATTCTGTATTACAGTGGTTCTCAACTTGGGGGTTGCGACCCCCGGGGGGGTCTTGCGGCCTTTTTCGAGGGATTGTGCCACTTCCTCCTTTGGCCCCGCCCCCTCCACCATCCCGGTATGGCTGCCGGTCCCCGGGGACACCACAGCACGGCCCGAGCCCAGATCCGGTGGGGAGGCTTTCCCTGACTCTGTCATTGCCACCGGAAATGCTCCTGTGGCATTGGGGTGCACCCTGCTGCAGTGCTCCCGGGGACCAAACAGCCATTCCAGAGAGCCGTTCAGCGGTGGAACTCTCTGCCCCGGAGTGTGGTGGAGGCTCCTTCTTTGGAAGCTTTTAAGCAGAGGCTGGATGGCCATCTGTCAGGGGTGATTTGAATGCAATATTCCTGCTTCTTGGCAGAATGGGGTTGGACTGGATGATGGCCCAGGAGGTCTGTTCCAACTCTAGGATTCAAGAGGCAGAAGGGGCGGGGCCGGGCCGAATTAGGTGGAGGTGAGGAGGAGGAGGAAGAAGAAGAGGAGGAGGCCGTGCTCCCGCCTCAAGGCCTGGACCCTGCTTTAGAGGCGCTGTTGGAAGAGAACAGAAAGGAGGAGGGGGAAGAAGAGCGCTGAGAAGGAGGAGGGCAGGTGTCTCTGCTGCTGTCCCTCACCGTGCCTTTCTTGCCCTCCTTCCAGGCTTCCGGCACAAATGGAATCCTTCTCTATGAGCCTGGGCTCGTAAAGCAGGCTTCTGCTTGCCTGGAAGCCTCAAAGAGCGGCAGGAGGAGCAAAGGTCAGCAGCAAGGCCTACCCTTCTCCTCCTCCACCTTCTCCTCCACCTTCTCCTCCTCCACCTTCTCCTCCACCTTCTCCTCCTCCACCTTCTCCTCCACCTTCTCCTCCTCCACCTTCTCCTCCACCTTCTCCTCCACCTTCTCCTCCTCCACCTTCTCCTCCACCTTCTCCTCCTCCACCTTCTCCTCCTCCACCTTCTCCTCCACCTTCTCCTCCACCTTCTCCTCCACCTTCTCCTCCTCCACCTTCTCCTCCACCTTCTCCTCCACCTTCTCCTCCTCCACCTTCTCCTCCACCTTCTCCTCCACCTTCTCCTCCTCCACCTTCTCCTCCACCTTCTCCTCCTCCACCTTCTCCTCCACCTTCTCCTCCACCTTCTCCTCCACCTTCTCCTCCTCCACCTTCTCCTCCACCTTCTCCTCCTCCACCTTCTCCTCCACCTTCTCCTCCACCTTCTCCTCCACCTTCTCCTCCTCCACCTTCTCCTCCACCTTCTCCTCCTCCACCTTCTCCTCCACCTTCTCCTCCACCTTCTCCTCCACCTTCTCCTCCTCCACCTTCTCCTCCACCTTCTCCTCCTCCACCTTCTCCTCCACCTTCTCCTCCACCTTCTCCTCCACCTTCTCCTCCTCCTCCAGGCTCTTCCTCCTCCTCCTCCTCCTCCTCCTCCTCCTCCTCTCTGTTTGGGGGGCCTCTGGAAGAGAACGGAGAGCAGGAGGGAGAAGAGGGCACTCCACTCTCCAAGGCTTCCAGCACAACCGGAGGCCTGCTCTACATTTCGGGTATTTATTATTATTATTATAACTTCATTTGTACCCCGCTAGCATCTCCCAAGGGATTCGATGTGGCTTACAACAGGCCGGAACCCAACACAATACAACAATACAGTACATAGCAAATAAAACAGTTAAGCAGAAAACAATAAACAATAGCAATACAACAAGACATTATTAAAAACTGAGCCGGCCGGAGTAGGGTACAGGATTAAAAAGTGCTGAAGTGTCGGAGGGATATGGGATTAAATATAAGTGCAGTGTGCGGTGAGGGTGATCTTGACTCTACTAAAGTGCTTCTGGGCTTTGGTAGTGGGGTTCCTAATCTGAGAAGGCACGTTGGAACAGCCAGGTTTTCAGGTTCTTTCTGAAAACCGCCAAAGTAGGGGCTTGTCTGAGATCTTTCGGGAGGGCATTCCAGAGGCGGGGGGCCACCACAGAGAAGGCCCTGTCTCGCGTCCCTACCAAACGCGCCTGTGACGCGGGCGGGATCACGAGCAGGGCCTCTCCTGATGACCGGAGTGAGCGTGTGGGTTCGTAGACAGCGATACGGTCACGCAGGTAGGGTGGTCCCAAACCGTTCAGGGCTTTGTAGGTAAGCACCTGCACCTTAAATTGGGCTCGGAAAATAAACGGCAGCCAGTGGAGCTCCTTGAACAGGAGGGTTGACCTCTCTCTGTAAGGAGCCCCAGTTAACATCCTGGCTGCTGCCCGTTGGACCAGTTGGAATTTCCGAGCCGTTTTCTAAGGGCAGCCCCACGTAGAGCGCATTGCAGTAATCCAGTCTAGAGGTGACTAAGGCATGGACCACCCCGGCCAGATCAGGGTATTTCTGCCAAATGTCACCCAGATCCATAGCTGTTTGGGTTCACAGTGCTCTCCAGATGTAGAAGTACATCTCCTTGAAATCACTGTCCATTTCTCCCTAAGCACAACACCAGTGCTTTCTGTTGGTGATGGGAGTCCCGTGTGCCAAATTTGGTTCCCTTCAATTGTTGGTGAGGTTCGCTTTGATGCCAGGCGAACTATAAATCCAAGCAACTGCGGCTCCCAAATGTCCGGGTCTATTTTCCCCAAACCTCTCCAGTATTCTCTGTTGGTCAAGGGAGTTCTGCATGCCAAGTTGGTTCCAGGTCTATAACTTGTGGGGTTCTCAGTAGTCTGTGGAAATCTGAGCTGAATTGGTTGAAGGTACTGCAAATCCCATCATGCATTGTCCATATTCCCCAAATGCATTGTTTTTGTGGTTAATCACTATGTTTTAATTATGTTCAATTTGTAAAAGTGAAAACACATCCTGCCTTTCAGATATTTACATTACTATTAATCACAGTAGTAAAATCACAGTTATAAGTAACGACAAAAGTAATTGTAGAGTTGGGGGTCACCACAACATGAGGAACTGTACTTAGGGGTCGCAGCATTAGAAAGGTTGAGAACAACCACTGCTGTGTGAGATTTAGAAGGGCCGAAACCTCTCACTGGAAAGGCCGATGGAGCTGGGGCTGAGCTCCTTTGGGATCTCTTTCCCCCACTTCTGTGGGTCGCATCTCTCTGGGTTGGAGTCTTATGCTTCCGTTATTCAAGATATCCTGTGTCTTGATCCTCAGTTGCTTTAGTACCACGCATCTGAATCCAGCATTTCAGGACAGCTGTCTGTGCTGGTACGGCTGTACCAGGAGCTCCAACTTTATTTCTGTTATCCATTTGCAGTCATAGGGCAGGCCTCCTGTCCATCATAATTAAGCTTTGGTTCCGCCCCTTGTTCAGGGCTCTGGGAGGGAAAGGAGCCATTTTTGGGCAGTCTCTCATAAGGAAGCTAAACTATAGGACGTAGACCAGCTCGTCCCGTAGAAACAGAAACAGAAATTCCAGGGAAAAGGTGCCAAGGCTTTGGCTGAGAGCTCACAGCCTCACAGCAATCAGAGGGAAAACAACCCTGAGGTTTTCAAAGAATTCTCTGAGGGAGGACAGCACTACAGATCCATAGAACTCCATCTGAAACATCTTCAAGCCTCGGCTGGTAGGTCTACTCGATACCCAGATGCATTTGGAATCGGTAGTAGGACCCACACCGATGAGGCATAGATAGTAAACGGCCTGGGAGAGGTTAAATAGGGTTTTTCCTACAGAGAAAGTACACTTAATTAAAGTCAGGTACCAGTCCATTGAGGACTAGACTCAGAAAGCCTTGAAGTGTTGTTGTTTGTTCCATAATAAAGACTGTTGTATCGTCAAAGATTCTAAAGACCATCACTTCAGAAAAATCCCCGAGAACCTCTCTTTGAGGCGCTCTGGCTTCCTGCTGGGCTTAAAGTATATGTCCTATAGAAAAGACAGCTGTTACAGGCCCAGCGCGCAACAGAACAGCTGTCCCTCCCTGTTTGCAGGTGTGGTTTTCATTGATGATGACGATGATGATGGTGATCATTTTGCTTTGTACCTTTGAGCCTCTCCTCATGGCTCAAGGCTGCTCCTCACAACAGCTTCAAACATTATAATCATGAAGCGGCCGTGGGAAAGAGTTGGATTTGATGCGGATGGCTAGGATGGTTTTAAATCTTGTATTTTAATATTTTGATAAATGTTTGTTAATGTTTATGTATGGTGTGTGAATTTGTGTCCTGGCATTGAATGTTTGCCGTGTATATGCTGTACCCTGAGTGCCCTGAGCTGGGGTGAGAAGAAGGGCGGGATATCAATGGTTTCAATCAATCAATCAATCAATAAATCAATCAATAAATCATCAGCCTTCACAAGCTCAGGGGATGCCTGCCATAGATGTGGGCATTTCAGTCGAGAATGTCTCCGGAACATGGCCAGACAGCCCTGAAAACACGCTGCAGCCTAGGGATTCAGGACATGAATCTTAGGATACTAGACCTCCTGGGCCATCATCCAGTCCAACCCCGTTCTGCCAAGAAGCAGGAATATTGCATTCAAAGCACCCCTGACAGATGGCCACCCAGCCTCTGTTTCAAAGCCTCCAAAGAAGGAGCCTCCACCACACTCCCTCCGGGGCAGAGAGTTCCACTGCTGAACGGCTCTCACAGTCAGGAAGTTCTTCCTCATGTTCAGGTGGAATCTTCTTTCTTGTAGTTTGAAGCCATTTTTCCATTGCGTCCTAGTCTCCAGGGCAGCAAAAAGAAAGCTTGTTTGGA